AAGCAAAATAAATAAGGAAAAATTCAAAATCAAGACCCTCCATATTTGACGGTAATTGATTTTTAAAGTTTTCTATTAGATCTTTATTTTTTTTATATAGCATTATGCAGTCCCACCAAAAAATCTCTATCTTGGTGTACGAGATTTTGAATGACGAGCAACTTGTTTATATAGAAACTAAATATAAAAGTCTATAACATATAAAAAATCAAGGTAAAACTCTTCATGGATTGACGAGAATTATTTTTTTAAGTTGGTCTTCGATCTTGTCATTATTGTTTTTCAGATTGTGGAGTCTCACCAAAACGTTTGCATCTAGGTGTTTGAGAGCTCGAATGGAGAATAACTTGATAAAATAGAAAATAGACTCTTAAGTCTACAATTTATACAAAATCAAAGTCAATGTTCTTATGAATTCAACAAAATTGATATTTTTTTCAAAAGGTAGCAATTTAATTGACTTCTCTGCATCTTCACTGAAGAGCCGCATGCTGATTTTCTTATTGATTGAGATTTTTTTTCTTTTAATCATCATGTCGATTTGAAGCTTCGTGCAATTGGCACCGTGAGACACATCTTTCATCATGACAAATGCTAGACCATATACCATAATTTTTGTCATGCCAATTTGAAGTTTTGTGCAATTTGCACCGTGAGACACATCGTTCATCGTGACAAGCACTAGAGCATATGTCATAATTTTCAGCATGCTGATTTGAAGCTTCGTGCAATTGCACTATGAGACACATTGTTCATCTTGATGAGCTCTAGAGCATATTTCATAATTTTAACCATGCTTGTTTGAAACTTCGTGCAATTTCACCGTGAGACACACCATTCATCATGACAAGTGCGACAGTAGATATCATAATTTTCACCATTGTAATTTGAAGCTTCGTGCAATTGGTGCCATGATACACATCATTCATAATGACGATTAGGAGAGCATATGCCATAATTTTCATCATGCCAATTTGAAGCTTCGTGCAATTGGCACCGTAAGACATAGTTCTTTCCACTAGGTTTACGATGGATCAAAAATAACCTCAATATCATACCATAAAAAAACGAGGGGTAATCAATAATTGACGAGGAACCACTTCATGCACCGTCATTTATAGTTTCAACTTTGATGATGAATAACACTTTGTGCCTCTTCTTTTACAATTGCGACTTTAGCGACGAACAACTTTCCACACATCTTCTTCTACAATTGCAGCTTTGATGATAAATCATATGTTTATGACCTTCCTTTACAATTGTGGATTTGATGATGAACCAAACATGAAACGTCCTCTCATTTTTTTTGTAGTTTCAGGCTTTAACGACGAACCACACTTGATATCTGTACTTTCGTAGCTTCAATTTTGGGGACGAACCACATGTGGTGTCTTTTCTTTTGCAATTGCAGCTTTAGTGATGAACCACATGTAGTAACTCTTCTTCTACAATTGCGGAGTGAATAATCTTTTAGATTCGTGGCTTTCACGAAAAACCACAGATGAAGTTTTTTGTCTTTTTTTGTAGTTGCAACTTCGACAATGAACCACACTTGACATCTCTTCATTTGTAACAACTTTGATGACAAACCACACTTGGTGTCACTTCTTTTGTAGTTTCACCTTTGATGACGAACTCCCTTGGTGCCTCTTATTTGGAGGATCATGCAGATATTTTATTCAACTCGTAAGCAAAGTATTATACTTTAAGATCATCAAAGATGACTGAAGAATCACATGAAAGGCCCCCCCTGATGTGCAACACTGTCTCGATGGTGCAAAGCTGGCGCATGAAAAGTTTGATGGATCCATGGAGAAACTTCAAGCAACTCTAGCAGAAGTGGAGAAAGACTTAAAAGTCTTGTCTTCCAAGAAAAAGAAGGTCACCACGCTTATTAACCAATATCAAGATAAGTTGTCGAAAAGTCAAGAGAATGTCACCATTACGGAGGGCGAGATTTACACCATTGAGGAAAATAATGTTATGTCTAACAATGAAGTTGAGATATTAGCCAAGCTAGAAGAGGCGATTGAGAAAAGTCGCCAAAAAATCATAAGCTTCAAAATTTTTCAATTGTTAGATTTCTTTTATTTGCTTAAAATTTTCTGATTCACTCATTAGGGTGTAGTGAGTTTTTTTTTTGAAGCAATAAAATAGTGATTATATTTCAATAAGAATTTTCTCCTCTTGAATTTTGACTTTTTATTGTTTAATTCCACGAGCTCCCTTTCTTTATTGGAAAAAAAAGGACTACAAAAACTATCGTTTATATGTGGATTGCAACAAAACGTTAATTTTTTCAGCTTTGCGCACATGTGGAATAAAATTCATAACTTAGAGTAGGAATATCGGAATAATGAGATTCTTATTTTGTTGGAAATATAACTTTGATACCTTCAATATGTATTAAAATAAAATCCATGAGATTTACGGATTAGTACATATTTGTGTTTGAAGTTGGCTCAAAATCTGCATTCTTGAACCTTCAGCTTTCTTCAGCTTTGCGCTTATGTAGAACAAAATTCATAACATGGATTAGGAGCATCGGAATTCTTTTTGTTGAAAAGATAATTTCGATATCTTCAATCTACATAAAAATCAAATCTGTTAGATATACGGGTTAGTGCAGATTTGTGTTTAAAGTTGACTCAAAATTTGTGTGCTTGAATCTTCGGGAGAAAATTAATAACTCCTCATAGGAGCCTCGAAATGATGTGATTCTCATTATTTTGGAAGCATAAATCATAGATGTACAAATTGTGCTTGGGTAAACCCTTCAATTTTGAGCAACTTGGGAAGAAAATTAATAATCCGGTGTAGGATTCTCGAAATGTTGCGATTCTTGTTCTGTTTGAATCATATGTCATAGATGCACACCATATGTAAAAATTACAGTAAAATGTCATTCCCTGGACTTTGTGCGCTCTTGACAATAACACAAGACTGTCTCTTGTAAACTTGGAGTGTTCAGATCATGATTTTTTGCGGCTATACCATTTCAACATAGAGCTTTGATCCGAAGGGTATTCCAATTTGATGTTTTAGGTAAAGATGCCCCATATTTTGAGTAACTTACTGAAGCATCAATGAATTACACCAAATTATCACCACCTTAAGCAAACACACAAGTAGAATCGCAAGTCGCTTTATCCAATGCCAATGAATTCACCAGCCTACCGCATTTAAAAAATTCTAATCAAAATATATTTTAAATTGATTAGATCAATATCCGAAGTTGACTCCCAAATTAGCATGTTTGATATGGAACTTTCAACTATCATACTTGAATATCCATGACTCAAATGTAGGAGTTTCTATTTACGAGCTTCTTCTTTTGTTGCAGAGTGGGCTTAAAGAATCTTCTCCTTTGCGCTGTATTTGAACTCATTTGCTACCTACATGATTTTCAAAGAGCTAGTGTGATGATCACACAAGACCACCAAGCCTTTTTTTTCATTTGACTGAACTTAGTGTGAATACTCCAAGCGCCTACATACCTCGATAAAGTGGATCAAGTCATATCGTAGTTCAAGAGGATGAGTTTTACTCCTTTTTTTTTGGGCTGTAAACAATTTATACTCTTGCGGGCTAGGAGTGACATGCAGTTTATGCTCATACCTTAAAGAGCGTATAATCAACCTTCATGGGAAGTATTTCATCTCTTTTTTGGTGTAAGAAGTGCACTAATGAAGATTGGATGTGGACCCTTCTGGAGTGCCTTGATTTAGTTCTTTGAGGTCATCTATGGTTGATTGTACGCCATCCTCCAGTTGAGGGGGAGCCTCTCAAAAATCATCATTTGTATCATCAACATCTAGACCTTCTTTCACTTTTATGTGTTAGGATGATTGTGTCTAGTTTGAATCTTCCCACCTAACTTTTCACGAAGACTGTAATAACTTTATCTTCCTCCCTCTTGGTTTCTCCATGACATTGGCTGGTGACAATAATTGAGCTTATTTTCACCTTCAAATAACCATCAGTGATGATTGACAATACAACGTTCTCTTTATATGCAATGGGAAAACACGGTTAACTCCTTGTCATCAATTACATCACAAGAATCTTGATTTTCATGCTCTAGCAAACTGCTTTTAGATAATGATTTTCTTTTGATTCCCAAGCGATGAAATACAGAAGTATTTGAGGTGGTATCATATTCATCCACTTGTTTAGAGGATCTTCTTTCATCCTTGCGGCCCATTCTTTCAAATGCAGAGACACGAGTTGTCAGTCTTCCAATGCGTTCAAACACCGAAGTCCATCCCGATGTTTTACCATTTTTATATTATTTTGTCTTTTCTGTAACGGTGCAGTTGGATGAAGTTACTTTTTCCCCTTCTTAGATGAAATTCGAAGAGGCTCCGACAAGTTGAATCAATTGGGTCGACTTCTACATCTTCCTCCATATTTACTTTCAAGAATTTGAATAGAATTTTGCATCAACAATATATGACTCCATCTAAGTGAAAGGATTGATGTCTGCATCTATTTCGACAATTTCATCATCTTTCATATACTACATGCGCTGATGCAAAGTATATGTCACCACTCCATTTTCATGAACCCAAGGATGCCCGAGCAACAAGTTGTATGATGTTTTGGCGTCTATGACATGAATTAAAGTGTTTGATTTCATGCCGCCAATGGATAATTATATAAAAATCTTCCCTATGGATCGTTATCCACCTTTATTGAACCCTTGGATCGTCAACTTGCTTCTTTACAATTCATCAACAGGGATCCCAAATTTATTAAACACAACTTTTTGCATAATATTCACTGCTAAACCACCACCGATTAGAATGTGATTGAGATGTTGTTCTCGAATTGATTCCACAACAAACAAGGGCCTATTATGTAGATTAGACCCTAACAACAAGTCTTCATCTGTGAAGGTGATTGTAGCACAACATGGGGCAACTTTTATATTAGCTTGATGTTCTTGTGTTATTGTTGCAATATACTTTCCTTTGCATTTCTTTGTTTAGTCTGTGCTTGAAACAATATGTGTTGCACCAATTTGACTATCGCAAAAGAATTTTTTAGGGAAGAATTCATCCAACATAATAGGCTTTCAAACCTTCTACGATGAAGAACCATTGATCTTTCGATTAGTACAAGGCTTGGCACTTTCTGATGGTTGTAGTTGATTCACATCACTCTTTGTTGCTCTTGTCTTAGGAAGTTGTTGTTGACACCCAATTTTGACCTTTCCCTATACTAATTACTTAACGGGCTTCTTAATCCCAAACATTTTGAAATAATTGGTTCCATTAAGGCTTAAAAGGTTTTTCAAGTTATTCCAAATAAATTTTATTGTTGTCATAATTCTTAGATATTATGTACGATTTACATAATAATGTATATGGCTATTATATGTTATGTTTGTTCGAAATTCGTCTTTAATGTTTTTTTTTGCTTAAATATTTTTATTTTAGTTGTATAATGGTTTACATTTTACATCAATTATTTTATGACAACGTCGTTTATTTTTTTTATTACGTTAATTTTCTTTAATTTTTAATCAATTTAGCCAATAATTTGGCTAGATTGACTTTTTTTTAGATAAACTTGGCCCTTTTGTTTGTCAGCAGCCCATCTCAGAGTAATTTAAAAATTTTCCGTAATTCCTAGCCCAATATCATTTTGATTCTCTCCAACCCATTACTCCAAATGAGAGCGTCCCAATTCACTGAGAAAATCAGCCCTATTTTTATTTCCCAGGCCCATATGCCAAGCCCACCCTTATTTCCTGATTTTCCAGGTTCGACAAATCCAAGCCCATTCTGCTTTGACCCAGTCCTCCCATATTCGGCCCATCAGCAAAGGGATATTATCAGCAGTGTCAACATAGAAGAAACTGACAAAGAGGCGCTGTGACAATGATAGGGGTGCGTGAGTGACACGATATGACTAGTTCACGGAGGGTACACGACGTTAGACCGAAATGGAGGTTGCTGTGTATTTCCTGCTTTTTCTGCTACTGAATACGAATTCGTACAAAGGACAACGCAAGGTGTTGAAATCTCCATATTTGCTCATAGTAGTGCCAAGATCGGACGGTCCTCATTTCTTACCCGTTGCCATTCTGTTGAGGGTTGGTAATTTCATACTAATTACAACTATCTCCCATGAGTTGGGGATGATTTTTGATTTTGAAATGGCTGAAATCTTTGGGGATGATTTTTTGATTTTGAAATGGCTGAAATCTTTTGGCTTAAGATTTCTTTTCCCTCTCCCCCTTCCCCGAAAAAAAAATTGAAACCACAATTCTTCTCCTATAAATACAGTCTTTTGTTCTTGGACAAAACAAACCCTTTATTTGAGAGGAATTTTGGAGCCGCAGAGAAAAAATATACAAGGAGTTCTCTTAGTTTCTCTTGATAGTTTGATTGTGAGGGGAATTCTTGGGAGTTAGTTTTATCTCGATGAAATATATAGCAGCAATTACCAAGGAAAAAAAATATATTTCACAGAGGTTTTCTTTTGAGGAATACTCTGAGTTTGGAGGGGGATTTTTGAGAGTCAAAATGAAAGTCAGGAAAAGAGAAGTGAAAGAGTTACAGTTTCCTGAGCAGTAGGAAAGATATTCAATAGAGTCTAGCTCTACATCTCTATCTAGTTACTCAAATTAAGATTCGTGTTCAAAGTCGTGGAAGCTCGTTGACTCCTTGCTCACCACTGTCCAGTTAGCTGCCCAGAAGAAGGTGAACTTCCCCTTTAGATTTCAGTCCCTTCCAAATATTTGTCTTTGTGTGTTTCCTGGAACAACTCTATCTTTCGTTGATTTACTACGACCATGTCAAAAGTTTTTTTTTCGGGATAAGATTGGTTTAGACAATTAATACACAAGATGTCTCACTTGTTTAAACTACTCATTCTCTAATATCTATGAAGATGAGTCATACGGTTACCTGAAAATACGGTTCAAGTATGTCGGTGTGGAGTTGGTGTGTTTCAAAATGTTTGCTAGTTTCAAGATTATAACCTTTCTCGATTATCCTTCAAAGCTTCGTTTCATTGCAATTGTTTAGTTCTCAAAGTTTTGTCACTCACTCATCTTAGTCGTTCTTGAAGTATGAGATGTTTTTGTATTTGTTGTTATTGTCGCGAATTTTAGTATGGGATTAGTCAATTTGGAGTTTGAATGTTGTTGCTTAGATTGTCCATTAGATGATACAATTTTTTTTCTTTTCTGTTACTGTTCATTTTTCTGTTTTGGCATTGATTTGTTTTTATTTCTTGTCTACTGTTACCCAACATGTAGGTTGTATGATGAACATGTATTTTAGTATTTTGAAGTGTATATGGTGTTCAGAATGATGTTCTCTAAGAAGATTTTTAGAAGGCTTGGGGCAGGGGAATTTTTATGACTTCTAACTCATCGTAGACTACAAATTAACAGTAAAATTTGTTTAATGAACCTTTTGCTGCATATTTTCATTTTTGAAATGGCTTAATGCTCATTGGAAGCTTATATTATGGTTTGTATATTCGTCGAATTTGCGGTTTCTTTTGCTCGTCTTAAGTCTTGGTTGTTTCGTCATTATTTAGTCTTCCTTTGTTGGTATTCAGGATCATGTCATATTAAGTATTCTGAGTGTATAAAATATTACCATATTGTTTTTTCATCTTTTAAATCTTGCCTTAATTAATTTCTCCTCCCATATCATTATATACATGGATTCGTGTTGAATATTAAAGTTATCTTATGTTGACAAAAAAATTATGTTGATATAAGACCCAGTTCTCATTTATACGCGCTTCTTCCTATTTTATATGTTAGATTTTTCTTTGGTTAGTTGAAAGGTTTGACTATACCCGCTTTTTCATTATCAAGGAATTTGAGTTTGAATCCGGTGATCTGCTTTTTTTTTCTTTAATATGCTCCCATAGTTTATTGAGGGTCTGCACAGTCTAGCTATAGGCCAAGTGATTCTAAAAGTTTGTTAGTCGCATTTCCTTGTATAAATATATATGTGTGTGCGCGCGCGCGCGCTTCGACAATATGCTAAAAAAATTTGAGATGATAAGAGTTGCATTGTATAACAGTACCATCCTCTCGAGCTGTTAAGAATCATTTGCCTTTTTTGTGACATAAATATACACATCTTGTATGTGCTCATCTTCAACATATTAAAATGTGGGCTATCGTTACTGTGTCTTGTTTAAATTTTCTTTGCATCTTAACATATACTGATAGTTTATTTCTTTGTTGCTAAACCTCTTCGAGCGTCAAACTCTGTTTTAAAATTTAAAATATATATAATAGTTATATCATTTGGTCTTATTATATTTTAATTAATTAGTAGCATGATTGTAAGCCCACAGTTACAAACTGTATGTTTGAGTTATGCAAAGTCCACATTGCTAGTGGCTTATTTTTGTCTAAATGGTTAATTGTTCTTTATTATCGATAAACAAATATGTACGCTTTTCATCCTGTATAATTACTGCTCCCCTCCTTCGCTCATGTTTATTATTTGATGTCACTTTCACTTAACCTTAGCTTGTCATGTGAAGCTAGACTAAGTTCGAGTGGAAAAAACTCTAATAAAATATGCATTTCTTTGTCACTTTTGTGTAACATTCGTGTAGTAAATATATTTTATTTAATTCTACGTTATTTCACACTTAAATACTTTAGTTATATCAAAACATAAAGTATGTTCCATTTCTAATTTCCATTTTGGTTTATTCTTTTCCATGTATGGACTACCTTATCAGAGTCTTTGAAGGCTCCCTCTCCCTTTGCATCCATTTATCAAGTCAAACCATTAAAATTGACGGACACGTTCCAAGGTTTATAAGATCAAAGGGAAGTCAAAGAAGCGAGATTACAAGACCCTCTATTTTTGTATTTTCATTTGTAATTGGCTTAAGCCTTCGTCGTCTCTCATTTTTCTGTATTTACTTTGTATTATTATTTGCTTAGTGTAGGACAAGTACGAAAAAAATGGGTCAAAAACCCAAAAAGGTCAAATGGGTCAAAACCCAAAGAAAAATGGGTCTAAATACCGGTCCAGACAGACAGATAAACTGGACACGGACCCAACCCTCCCTCTCTCTCCCTCTCCCTTTACTTTTCTTGTTATTTATTTGCGTTTGATTGCCTCTAGTTTTAAGGTTAGAAATTCGCAAATCCTCGCAAGGCGCCACTATGTTTTAGCGGTTTAAATTAAATTGATCAATCTGTAAAAAACTATAAAAGAATCAAGTAAATTTTTTGAATTAAATGGTGTAGACTAATATCATACTACATAGGTTTCCAATCCAAGAACAGAAAACTTTTAGCCAAATAGTTAGTTGTCGGAAAACCGCAATTAGGCGGATATTTTAGGTGCTTAACACCTTCCTAGAATATTAATTGGAATCCCTGAACCCATCTGAATGTTTTAAAACGATTTTCCTGTTTAAGTTATTTGAAAACAATAGTTTTCTTAATTTTAAAAATTAAGTGGTGACTCCAAAAGTCAAAAACTATTCAAACTAAAATATTTTATCTTTTCTGATTAAAACACAAATGATGACTCTGCTGGGGAGTTGGGAAGATTCTAAACTTAAAACTAACGTATTTTGTCTATGTGAGTTAACTGTTTATCTATTTCTTTATTGAACTGCTGCATTCATGGAATATCATAATTCCATCAAACGACGATTGTTTCATTTCCACTAAAGGACGATTATGCGGGTTCGCAGTCGTTCATTAACTAAAATTTTCTTGGGACACCCTGACGAGTATTGTTGGCTACTTGATAGTCAACGATCGTTAACTATCCCAGCCCAAGTAGTCCGCTTGGGTAACCATTTCCACTCTAAATACAACCCACTCTTAGTCAAACTAAGATAGAGCGAAACCCAATCCCAAAAAATAGCGCATTGGCCTAAGATGACCCAACACCCAAGGAGTGTTGGGCCCATTAGAAAGACCACCATAAGTCCAAAGAGCCCACGACTTGATAGGACGATTGTATTTGTGTGTTCTAAAGGATGTATTGTGTGTTTAAATGTTTGTTGTATCTGAGGGGTGGCAATTAACTAGTTGTATTTTATTACAGATGTCGAGTCAATTCCTCCATTTCAACATGGTCACCAAGACACCAGACATTCTCCGTGTGTGGTGGGACAACCTCAAAAATTGTCAAAAGAGAGAAATCTCGGTTTACCAGGTTCACTTACCTTCAATAATGAACTTCAAAATATGGCCCACGTTTACTAAGGTTATCACTCGATTCTAGGACGATAAGAAGATGGTTTTTCAATTTGGAGATGTAGAAATAACACCCACGCAAGAGGAAATTATGGATTGTCTGGACTCTATCGGGACGTGTGGCAAGAGTTGAAAAACATATTGTTACTAGTAAATGCAAATTGGATGGAAACCCACGATATACCATTAATGAGATTTTTTGAGAAATGGGGTCACGACAACTATTTCAGACTATTTCCGAATGAATTCCACAATCACAGTACATGGAGGCAAACTCTGACTATTGCCTTCTCTGCAATCCTTTTAGGAACTATGGTGTTCCATAAAGATGAAGGAACATAATGGTAGTGGACGCCATGTTAAGAGGAATTGGTAGAAAACAAGAGGAAAAGAAATATGTAATTTGGCTCCGGTCATTTTGGTTGACATTTATCGATCTTTAAGTCTGTGTTAAAATGGATTCCCATTTTTCCAAGGTTGCAACATCCTACTTCAATGGTGGTTGATTGAGAATCTCTGTAATAAGAACGGCTCCCATCCACAGGAGTTGGCCAAACCAAGCCAGACGAGTCCTCTTGATAATTATGAATTCTATCTAAGTGTCTGCAGATTCCCAATTCATACCACCAGGGATGCGTGGGCGAGGGTATTTCATGATCTTATAGAAGGAGATATACAATGGATGTTACCAAACTTCATGTCCGAGAGGATTGAGGCATAAGGGTCCAAACTTCCATTTTTAGTCCTTCCTGGCATCAGACGATCGCGGCCCGACAACCCGACAAGAGTGATGCGACAATTTGGTATAACATAAGTCATAACCGTCCAAGGAGATGCTAGCTCTTTTGTTGCCGATAACAATGAGAACGATAAAATACCTTTTTGCTAAGATCACCCTCCAGGAATGGGTCGGGCATGTCAACATGAAGTGGGATATGACCGAGAATAGATATGAAGCTGGGTATGTCAACGAATACAACATGGTTGCAAAATGATCTGCGTGGTGTAGTGAATCTTATTCCATGAACAGGTCGAGAAATTGAAGACGTGCAGGTTATGCTTCAAATCCATGCGTACCACTTTCAGCAAGAGTGGGACCAAAGGGAGCAAGAATTTCAACAAAAGGAGCAAGAATTTTAGAAGAGAGAGCAAGAATTTTAGAAGAGAGAGCAAGAATTTTGACAAAGGGAGAGAGAGTGCCAATTCCGAGAATTAGAAATTCCGAGGGTTTTAGGTGTGACATCACAAGAACTAGCCGACACAAGGGCTTCTATGATGCATTTTGACACGACCCTGTATGAGCAGATGAAAACTTTACAAGACGTAACAACATCTTCCAAAGCTTTGTTCGCCGAGCCGTACGTGTTCACCAACAAGTGCATCATCCGCAAAGAAGTAGAGAAGGCCAGAAGAGGAGCCGAGCCATCAACCTTTTGACTCCCTTGCGTGATATTGTTTTCTATATGTATTTCGCATCACATCCCCCTCCCTTAATGTACTCCGTTTGATTTTAAATTATGTAATTAACACTATGGTATTTAGTGAAGTTTATATTTGGGATACAACTATTTGTTTAAATGACGCAATACATCCTTCAGATCGCTAGGCCTACCCTTGGCACAAAGGGTCACGTGCATGATTAGGACACCGTATATGTGTGTTTAACTGCTTATGTGTTATGTTGCTATGAATGAGGATATTGTAAACCCACTCCTATCCAAAAGTTTCCAAAGATTATATAGAAGCCACTATTAAAAAATGTCCGACCAAAACTTCCTAGTCTTAAAGTCTCTCACTCAAAGACCTCCTCCTATACCACAAATCCCAAAACATTACTCTACCGTCTTAGGAAAGGCATAATCACTGCTACGGAAAAAGGTAAGAGCATCTAGATGGAGCTCACTAAAGAAGATCTACAGAGAAATATCAAACAGATCACTTGGTAATTTCAAGAAACCAAGAAGGAAGGGCTTAGAGTTGACATGGCCACCGCAATTTACAAAGTTGTTGCTGTAACGTTGGATGAGGATCTGGCATCACAGATGAAAAGAAAGAAAGATGTTGAGATGGAGACAGAGGGCTTGAGAGAGAAGTTGAACATGCTTCGATTGAAAGTTCAAGAAAGAGAAGCGAGAGAGGCGAGGATAGATTCAGAGACCGCCACTCTATTAGATAAAAGTGTGTCACTTGACAAGGAACTGATAGAGGAAATGGAAGAATTCGCCTCAATGAGTGAAGAGATGGCTGCACTGAAGAAGAAGAACAAAGCCTTCGATAGCAACCTGATGGGCAAAAAATACCCCGCCTATGAGCAAGGATCAACCTATAGTGGTCCCGACAACGCTCACCCTGAAGTGACTGAGGAAGACGACGACGAGGAAATGGTGTACAAGCCTCCATTCTTAGGCCATCTAAAAGAAGGAGACTAATGCTGCAACAAGAAGGGAAATGACTAACGTGTCGCCATCATTTCATCTTTTAAAGGAAGACTCTACTGTTTCCTTTCAATTTCCTTATAATCGTAATGAATGAATGAATGAAGATATTTTCTTTTTTACTCGAACTACATTGGGCCTGAATTCTCCTTCTGCGATACGTAGGCAGCCTTTCCAGGACCACCCCCTATCTTTAAAAATTTTCATTCTCCCCTTCATGTTACGAGAAGATACGAAGACCAGATCAACAGACGTTAAAGAGTAGGTGCAAGAAGACCGTAGCTTAACATGATGTAACCTTTCTGAAACAAGTCCAAAACTGAAACAAGCAAACTCCTACTTGTTAAAAAATGTGTTTCCGTCCTCACTCGTGGGTTGAAGATATCCTCAAACAAAGCAACTTGTGTGTTTATCTGCTCTCTATGATATTATGAATTTTGTACTCTGAATCTGCACTGACAAATCTGCCTTTGAGTTGTTTTCCTTCTCAGGTACTTTGAAACTGATCTGTGTCAATCAAAAGTTGGCAGATCATCCTTATTTCACCAGATCAAAAGGTCCCGCAGATTCTTTCCCTAGACAATGCTTAGACAGAGGAAAGACAGTTATGTGGGATGATATTGAAGAAGTGAGTCTTACTGATGTTGTGGTGGCTCAACCTACCGTAGCAGAATAGAATGAATTGATTATGAAATTGATGCAGCAAACTGTGGATATGAGGGTTGAAATGCAACAGAGACTGGATCTTCCTCCACCTGGATTTGCTTCTACCGCTGCTGATGGGAGGCCTACAATGTACTTCCCTTCCTCAAATATGGATCAAACTCATAATCAGCCATCTACACCTGTTCATAATTCGTCGGTTATAGATCCGACTACCCAAAATCACCAATATGCTTCAGCATCCTACAAAACTCCATCTTCTCTTCAAAACAACTATCCCCAAATACCACCCCATCCTAAAAATACACACCATCAGATTGCTCCATCCCCATAAAACCAAAGCCAAAATCAAAATGCTTTCAATCCCTAAACACCCCACCACCACTTAAATTAGAACACCAATCATCAGGCCTACCCAATGAATTACCAAACCGCCCAAAACGCTCAAAGTCCATCTGTAGCTCCACCCCTACCAAAGAGAGCCACTTTTCAAGTTCCCGTCCCTGTCAAGCACGATGTGCACAATTCTGAGTTGGACCATTACGAGGAGCAAGAAAAGGAATAGAGGGCAAAGGAAGATGTATGGGTCGATATAAAAGAGGAAATCAAGAAGGCCATCAAAGAGCTACAATGCATCCCCGACATCGCTGGACTTAGTTACGAGGACTTGTGTATCAACCCAAATTTGGACCTTCCAGAATGGTTCAAGATTCCAAAGTTTGACACCTTCGGTGGAGTGGGTGTGAGCCTATTGTGACAAGCTCGTGGGAGTTGGAAGGGACGAAGCTTTATTGATTTGGCTCTTCAGTCGGAGCCTATGTCGATAAGCTCTCAAATGGTTTACCTCGCAAGAAAATAGACAATGGCCTAGATGGAATGCATTGGCCAAAGATTTCATCGGTCGATTTGCTTATAACGTAGAAATCATTCCCGATCGATACTCTTTGG